CTCATCCCCCGCACCTGACATCTGTCCACATCTTTTATGTCAAGGAGATGTTTTACCTTCATGAACAGACCAATTATGGCTCCAACTTTGAATTTTTTTCTTACACTGGCATGGATAACAACTTTTTAGACCATAAAAAATAACTGATATATGGCAAAAAAAACAAAAACAAAAACAAAAAAATACCAACTGAGGTACTATTACAGAATAATAGGTTACAGCTCCTGTAGATAATAATGAATGGATCATCTTAACTATCTCAGAATTGGCCTATAAAGATCCAGGGCACTTCTCTACCCAGAACACCCCTTTTTACTAATAATTATCATGTCTACCCTGACAGCAGAACCACCAGGATCTTAGGAGTACACCAGTATCTATCCACCTGCCACATAAAATGATTTCCAGTTGGCCTTCCAAGCAGGTCAAACTGAAATATAAAGAGTACACCAACCTCAAAACAGAGCATCTTAGTGGGAGACATCATTAGCTCTTTTCTAGATACTTTCACTATGCATCACCCATCCATACCAGAAACTCAAAGAACACTCCTCAAGATCATGGAAAACCTTCAAGTTTTCTGCATCTTGTGGCTTCCCTTTACCCTTGATTTTCATGAGACAACTAACTTGCCCATCACCATATCTATGATCAGCCCCCTAAGGCTCCAGTCTTCCTCAGAACCTAAGCAAACCCCTAACCAACCAAGAGAGAAATTCTGGGTGTGTCAAGGGGAATCTACTATATTCCAGGTGACATTAAGGTCAGCTGTATTCACTGATCTACAAGAAGAATTAAGGGCTAAAAGAGCAATTGTTGGAACCTATCTTTTACCTCCAAAATACAAGGAAGCACATTAAGCTGTGTTGAAGGCAAACCCAAGGAAACTATCTTTACACAACTTTAATTATGGTTTACATTTTTATGCTGTTCCACAGTTCTTATAAGTTATCTATTTTAATAGCTTCTTAAATCATTGATACGATTTGTTGTAATTGACCTAAAAATTCCCTCATTGTAATGGAAGTTATTTCTAATTTTTCCTCTATTATGGATACTGCTTCAGTAAACATCTTTATACATAAAGAATTCCTTCTTTAAAATCATTTCTTAGTTATAAAATAAATAAGTCCTGGGGATATAGTGTACAACATGGTGATAATAGTTAAAAATACTATATTGTAAAAAATATATATACTATATTGTATATTTGAAAGTTACTAAGAGTAGGTCTTAAAAGTTCTCACAACAACAACAAAAAAAGGTAACTATATGACGTGATGGATTTGTTAACTAATCTTATTATGGTAATCATTTTGCAATATATTAATATATTAAATCATTATGTTGTACACCTGAAACTTACACCATGTTGTATGTCAATTTTATCTCAATAAAAAAATTATTTGTTTAAGATAATCCCAGCAGCATGAACCTCTTAGTGAAAGAATATGAATATTTTAACTTTCTTTATGGGAATTGTTTAATTCACAGCTCAAAGGGCCATACCAAGCCACCACTCATAATCTTTGATGGTCCTTCTACCTCAAGCTTATCCTAACAAATGGGATACCTCTAATACGATGCGGTTGGAAGTATAAACTGGGGCCACTGTTTTAAAAGGCAATTTATGGTGTTTTCGAAAAGCTGAATATATAATTCCCTTTAACCTTGACACTCCATTTCAAGAAATGGGTTCTTTGAAATATTGGCATGTCTACCCAAAGGAAAATGAACATGGATGCTTACTGCAGCATTGTTTGTACTAGCAAAGAAACAGAAATTAATGTAATTATTCATCAAGGGGAAAATAAATTATGATAAATCAAAATAATGTATATTTATTTCTGTTTTAAAGAAACTATATGCAGGTATTTGCACCTATATACATTTGCAGTGTATAGGAAAAAGTCAGAAGAATATACTAGTAGTGGTAACCTGCAGACAGAGAAATTGTATTGGGAAGAAGGGGGTGGTAGGGTGGTGCTGAAGGAAAAATTGTATATTTCACTCTATAGGTTTGCATCTATTTGGACTGTTTACAATCACCAAATATTTACCTAATACTTTTATAATTAAAATCACTTTTAAAATAAAGTACTTGAAATAAGACAAACTTTTAACACTCCAGTGATAAAAACCTAGTTTCCTACCTCTCTCTCTCTCTATTTTGTAATCAATCTAAACAACACTGAACACTAGCAATACATTCCACTACTGATTTTATCAACGTCCACTCCCTTACAAATGAGTGAACCCGAATAAAAACCCAATAGAGAATTAGTGCTGAGAAAGGAGGATAGTTGGAAAGCTAAAAAGTTAAGAAGAAAGAGACTGAAGAAACACATATTTTCAAATAATCTGTATTCCAAACCACAAAACATAATAAAAATGCACTTTTATGCATGCTACCTTTTCATACTGGCTTTAACTTTTACAGTGGAACAAGTGCATAAAGAAAATGTTGGCTATTTATTTAAACCTGCAGGTCTCTGAATAGTCTATTCTACAGAGAATCTGGATCAGAATCATCAGTGGCACTGATCGAACATCAAAAGTCACGATCTTTAGGTACAACTCCAGATCTGAAGCTAGAGGGTGGAAATCTGCAGCTTCGGCGTTGACTCATGAATCCCAAAGTTTAAAATATACTTTCTTAAGCATTCAGAAATACTGGACATCAGAGTGGTACATAGGAACAGAGTCATTCTATTATTGAAGAGAAAAATCTCTCATTTGGCTTTCTGAAAGGCAGTGAGGTCATACTTTATTTTCTAAAGATTAAGCTTTCTAATCTAGATAAAATACAATCTGATTTAGTTTTTTTTTAAAGATTTTATTTATTTATTTGACAGAGAGAGACACAGCGAGAGAGCGATCACAAGCAGGGGGAGTGGGAGAGGGAGAAGCAGGCTTCCCGCTGAGCAGAAAGCCTGATTCGGGGCTCGATCCCAGGACCCTGGGATCATGACCTGAGCCAAAGGCAGATGCTTAATGACTGAGCCACCCAGGCACCCCTGATTTAGATTTTATATACCATTCAGGCAGGGACTGTTTCTATTTTGATCAGAACTCTGGGCCCAGCAGCCCATGTCTGGCACGTATTAAGCATGCAGTAAATATTTGTTGAATTAATATGGCTTGGGCCAGGGAGCTCCTCATGTGATGACAGAAGTTAATTTGGATGAACTGGACGTGGCCAGTGGGAGAGAAGAATCTGGGCCTGGGAAAGGGATAAGATGGATTCCACACAGGGCTCTGTCAGGGAAGAATGGGCCACTTCATATTTGTAAGTCTCGTATCCCTGCTCTACGAAATAAGGGAGCAGATTCTGGGAAATTAACTGCCAAGAAATCATTTAAATTTAGTCTGAAATGTTAAAATTCAGATTCTACAGTAGTTTAAACACTCCTGTGATAAATGTCCTTGTGTGCTCTCAAGTAAAAGTTAATACCATACAGACAAAGAAACACTTTGAAATGTGGATATTACCTTCACCACTGACTTGTCATTCTGTGATTAAGTGTGAAATCACTGGGAAGAGAACAATCCATTTGAAAGCAAAACAAGAAAGATAACGAGTGAAGAAGTAAATGGTCAGTCTGCAAGTTTTGTCAGCTCTTATTCCAAATTTCAAAATCTATTATTTACACAAATTATTTTTACCTAAATATTCAGGAATGGTACCTGATTTAGTTATTGAATGTGTGGCACAGTTATCAAAAGAAAAAAAAAAAACATGCAACATATCTTTTTGAAAAGGTATTCACAATAGTTTGCACAAGCACAGGATGGCCAATCACCCAAACACATGTTTTAAAAGATCAAAAAGACTCTCTGTGCACAGAGACATTAAATACAATAGGTACCCAATTTAGAAAAGAGATCTACTTACTAATAAACATGACCTTCATTTATAGAGCTGCACATCAGTCTTAACTGCAGCAAGGGGTCATGGAGAGCAGGAACAAATATTAATCTGCATGCCTATCTCCGAAACTCTGGTATGTTAGAGCAGGTCAGCAGATGGCTAAACTTGCATGAGAAGCTCCCTAGGCCGAAACGGGAAAAACAATGAAGGATGCCCTTAGGATTCTAGGAGAAAAGCTCACAAATCAGAAGAAAACCAAAAGTTACTTCAAACTGAGGGAGGAGGGGGTGGCCTGGGAAGGCAGAAAGTCACCCTGAGATTTGGGAGGTTGAGAGACGTATCTCTCAGTTCATGTCACTTGTGCCCATCCTCAGGGAGAAGTACATTCAAGTAACGGGGGGATCGGGGCTCCTCAATTACCCTCTTGCCCAGTCCATGGAACACCTGGTCCAAGCCCTCAGTGGAGACAACTGCTAAAAGCACAAGGCTGTCTGATGGGTATTAAAGAGGGCACGTTCTGCGTGGAGCACTGGGTGTTATGCACAAACAATGAATCATGGAACACTACATCAAAAACTAATGATGTAATGTATGGTGATTAACATAACAATAAAAAATTATTTAATAAAAGCACAAGGCTGTCTTCTGGAAATCTTGAAAGAGCTGGGTAAAGGGGGATCAAGAAGCTTGTCCCACCATGAAGAACCCAGGTCCAGTGAGCAGCACCAGGGTATGCAGGCCCGAGGAGGAAGCCTGGAGGGCAGCAGGCTGCAAACAACCAGAAGCAAAGAAAGCGGTAAAACGGGACCCTGGCCCTGCCTCGATGCTCTTCAAGGGATGAGGCGGACGTGACATGAGAAGCAGCATCAGGAAATGTTGGTCCGAATATGCAGCTAAATGTTGGCAGAGGATGTGGTAGAAGAGCCCCAGTGGCAAAGGAGGGCACAGCTGGAAGAGCCTGCATGGAGTCTCGCGAGCCAGCATCCCTGGGAGCGGAAAACAAACTGACTTGGAATCCCAGCGTGGTAGGGTGTCAAGAACCACTACAAGTGTCATTCATGCCCCGAGCATGCTTAGCAAGGCTGGTGCAGCTGGTAACACAAGGCTTGCAATCAAAATGTTCACTCACCTTCTTCCGGAGCCATGGTGCTTTGGACAATTTCATAAAAGTCAAGTGAGGCTTAAAACTCCTGTTTTCTCCTGCCAAGATGCCCTTTTCTTGAAATGTCCTTTTTGCAGCCTCTAAAGAAAATAAAAACACAAAAATGCTACTGTAACACATGGCTATCTTTTATTATAAAAATGGCAATTCAAAAAATAACAAATTATTTTATAATGAAGATTGTTTTATATACCTGTATGAGATATTATTTTCTAAAAAAAAGAATAAAACCACAATGTGTAGGCCAACATATTATTAAATCTGCAGAGATTTCAAACTTTAAGCATACAAAAGCAACAATTTGAAAAGGAAACATTTAATAAATGAAATAAGCGTTTATCTGATATGATGCTGATCTTCACTGAATATCCTAGCAGTGCCCATATGCATAAAAAAGGACTAGTTTATCTGTAACCCATAATATCTAAAACTTCTACTTCTGACTAAGATGGAATAACAGAAATCAGATTTACCTTCCCATGTGAAACAATGAAAGGACAAAGTATATAAAATGATGGTTTGTAAGATACTCTACTTATCAGGCAATGAAGGTCAGTGATCCTTTAGAGATGAGAAACAAACAAGGTGAGCCCTTCAACTGCCCAGCTTTCATCCTTGAGTGTCTAGGCCCCTGTGCAAGGAGGAGAAACCCAGGTGGAGCTTAGTCATCTCACTGGGTCGAGTAAAAAGAGCCGAAAGTAGGGGAAGCAAAGGTATCTACGGCTCACAGGCAAGATTCCTAGAAAAGTGAGACCTGTGCAGAGAGAAAACCCCACAGATCTACAAAGGGTTGCCATAGAGTATTCAGCTGAGTATAGACCAGTGCATATATGTTAGGAAACTACCTGAGGATGGGGAAACACATTCAAAAGGATTAGAGGGAATGGTGCCCAGTGCTCATACAGGGGCAGGAGAATTGTCTGTTCCCATGAGCCAGGCTGGAAAAACCTCAAGACTTCTGGGAAACTCGGTAGAATGAACAGAAAGGTCTTACCTCAGTAGTGGGGAAAAATTAGCTTTGAACTGGTACTATTCTAGTCCCATCTAAAAAATCTTAGAAGCAAGATCCAAAAGGAAAAAAAACTGTCTCCAAGTAACTTAATTGTGTCCCAGAACAAAGCCCAAGAAGTAGACTATCCAAACCCAACAAGGCAGACTTCACAATGCCTGGCATCTAATAAAAAATGTCCAGGCATGCAAACGAACAGGAAAATGTGACCTACAATGAAGAGATAAATCAATTCACCAAAGGGAACTGACACAAATGTTAGAGTCAGAAGATAAGAGAATCAAAATAGCTATTATAACTGTTTTCTTTATGTTCAAAAAGTAGAGACATGCAAGATATAAAAAAGACCCAAATCAAATTCATAGAGATGAAAATTGCAATGTCTAGAGAAAAATAAACTGGATAGAATTAATGACAGATTAGACATTGTAGAACAAAAAATTAGCGACCCTGAAGACATGGCAATAGAAACCACCCAAAATAAAATACAGAGAGAAAAAAGAAAGAAAGGAAAGGGGAAGGAAAGGAAAGAAAAGAAGGAATGTCGGTAAGTGTGGGGTAACTGCAAGTTGTCTAATATATGTATAAGTGAAGTCCCTAAAAAAGAGGCAAGAGGAAGACAGAGAAAATATTTGAAGAAATAATGCCTGTTCGGGAATGAGAGCTGCCACAACCACGACAGAAAATAATCTAGGCAATAATTTTTAAAATTTAAACTGCACAAGTAGTTGAACCAGCAAATTCAATTCTAGGAAAATACACAAAAATAAAATTACCAGCATATAAAATTCTATATAGAAGATATTTAGAAATGTCTGAATTCACACAAAGTAGAAATAACCTCATCAATAAAGAAATGGTCATTAAATTACCATACAGCATACTAAGGACTATCACAAGAAAAAGAGAATCAGAGCTACACATATTGACCTGAAAAGATGCCCATGATCTATTAAGCAAAGAAAGGCAAGTTGCATGGTTAATATAACAATAATATGATTTCATGGCCTATTTAAAGAAGATAAATTCTCTATGTTTTATTAGCATAAAAATGGTATAAAATACCTTAGGATGAGGGTTGACATTGAATAGAGATAGAGGAGACCAGTAACATGTTCTTTATACATCTGTATATTGTTTGAGTGGTTACAACGAGCATGTATTACTTCTGAATAAAAAAAGTTAAAAAAACTAAATAAGCACAATAACTGACTAGACATTAGTAATATAACATTATTACAAGTGCACGAGCATCATACTGGAATGCACAAATAGAATTCTTTGCTATATGTATGAAAAATTCATAGTTTTCAAAGATCTTTGGTAAACAACTTTACATTTGTTCTTTCTACCTCAAAATCAGGTAGGGCTAATACCTAAGTTAATTTTAAAGATAAGAAAACAGAAACATAAGAAGTTGATGCTCAGAGTCACCCTCCTTATTAGTAAAGAAGGAACTGGAATCCAGATGCCATCGCTCCTACTCTGACCATGTTTCAAGCTGGATAAAACCCTAGCTTAAACCAAGGTCAGTGAAGGGCACAAAAGCTGCTCCAGCAACTGAATCAGGAAAAGTAAGGCAGGGCATTCTGTCATCTTCCACCACGCCCATACACACACTGGTTTCAGTCAGAGAAGCTCCCCTGTTTTATGCATGCACTTCTAAGTAGCTTTTCATTTTCTAAAAGGATTCCAATATTTACCCAAAAACAGTTTGAAAAATCAATGCTCAAAAAACACACAGAGAGGGTCCCTTTAGTAACAATAATCCTGCCAGTGATGTCCATTAAAAAATAGAAACAGGTGAAATATAAGGCAAAAAAAAGTCTTTGAATATCAAATAAAACCACATCCAATCCAAATGTTTAGTGAAAAATTGTTCCTTTTAAATTCATTTATTTCTTATCAATGTTAAATATGCTTTAATTTTTCTAACAATTAAAAATCATGAACCTAGTAGGAGATTATCTAGGATTTCCAGAAAATGTGTCCTAAAAAATAAAAGATGTTTTTAATACAATACTCAATACTAGTGTCATAAGAATGCTTTAGTTTAATCACCAATTCTGTTGGAATCTGGAAATTACTAATGATACATAGAATTATAACCAGAAATACCTGGATGAAAACAAAACCAAATATATTTCCATCCAATCTGATTATTTTTTACATAGTGTAAGACTTCAGTTTTTTTGAATGGGAACCCGAAATAAAAAAGATGTGGGAGTGAACAAAACAAAGATACAATAGTATCCTTTCTGAGAAAAAGAAGGGTTTGCTGTAATGACTGGTCCATACGAAAGTAATAAAATAACAGAGAAGAGCAGAGTTTCAAAACAGAAATACCTGCACAAGAGAAAATTCAAATGGACGCATTCTTTTTACCAATGACATAATTATTAGCCCCATCGGTGATATCTGGTATGCTGGCTGGCATGAAGGATAAAAAGCAGGGAAAAGGACCTGCCCTCCCAGGTGAGGAGATCCTGGAGCAGAGATTAGTAGGAGTTAATCAGCTAAGTACCCACAGTGTCTGGAGCATGTGCTTAGCATCTATGGGTATTTAATAGTAGCTACTGAATTTGAATTGAACATCACCTTTGTGCTAGGTGTTTTATGTATGCTTGATCATCTACTCCTCCAGATAACCCTAAGAGGTAAGTTATTATTCCCATTTTTAAAAATTAAGAAACTGAGACTCTGAAATGTTAATAGCTTACTCAAAGATCACTGAGCTAAGTCGTGGTGAGGATAGAATCTGAACTCAAATCTAACTGACTACAACATTCATGCTACCTCCTATGTGAAGAATCTAAAGTCTTGGGGGGCCTAGCTGACTCAAGTGGAAGAGTATGCAACTCTTGATCTCAGGGTCATGAGTTCAAGCCCCATACTGGGTGTAGAGATTACTAAAATAAATAAACTTTTTAAAAAAGAATTTAAAATCTTCTTTCTCCCCTCTAAGTTATTTTTTTTTTAAGATTTACTCATTTATTTATCTGAGGAGTGTGAGCGGGGGAGGGGCACAGTGAGAGGGAGAAGCAGGCTCCCCACTGAGCAGGGAGCCTGACTCGGGGCTCGATCCCAGGACCCTGGGATCATGGCCTGAGCTGAAGTCAGACGTTTAACTGACTGCGCCACCCAGGCGCCCCTCTAAGAAAATTTCTTAAATACAAGGTAAAATCTGGTTAGCTTATTTTAAAACTTGTATAGCACTTAGGAACTGCAGTTGACAAACTCAGATCTGGTCATTTGCTCATTCATTCAGCAAATAATTACTGACAGCTACTGTCGTCAGGTACTGTTCTAGGTGTGGGAACGACAGCAATGCACAAAGCAAATCCCCTGCCCTCAGGGAACGTCCACACATGCTGGGTGCCGTCAGGTATTGATCAGTGATATGAAGACAAATAAAGCAGGTGAAGGATCTACAAAGTGATGTGGAAGAAAAGAGGTTGTGATGTTAGAATGGCGGTCTGAGAAGCCCGCTCTGACGAGGAGACAGCTGAGAAGCTACCTAAGGGGAGAAGAGTACTCGAGGCACAAGGATGAACTTACGAAGAATGTTTAGTAGGTCCAGAAACAGTAAAAGGAATAAAAAGGATAGGACACCTGGAGCAGGGTGAGTCAGCATCTGGGGAAGAGGGAAGAATGGGTTTAGAGAAGTAGGCAGGAATATTAGGGGGCATGATAAAACCTTCAGATTTTATTCTCAGTATGGTGGGAAATTCTGGGGGTTTTAAGCAAGGAAAATTTATGTGTGAGAGTAACTTCCTTTATTCATCTGTTTCAGCTAGAATATACGTTTCTTCCTGGTGGAAGAAATTTAATCTCAGGCAATTCAAAGTGCTCTGCTCTTTCCCTAGAGCTGTATTTTAGTTGAAGGGAAGGTAGCTCATGGGGTGTCAGAGTGGTTTCGATGGGGGTGTAGCGCCTGGCTCTTGGGTCACCATCTGGCATCTCCTGAGACATGCACCACGCTTGATTTTGTAGCTGCCCCCTCCCTCATTCCCATATATAATGACTCTGCCACTCCTGTGCCCTTTCAGGCATGCAAGATTTCATTCTATG